GTCCTCCCAACGTTCCTTCCACCCTTCCTTCCTTCCTTCCTTCCTTCCTTCCTTCCTTCCTTCCTTCCTTCCTTCCTTCCTTCCTCTATTTTCCTGACTCTTACTTTCTCCACTCTCTTTTCCTTCCTCCCTCCCTGCCTCCCTCCCTCCCTCCCTCACACTGCAAATTAGTTTGCTTTTGCTTTGTTGCTGATCAAGAGGAGGTAAGGATGGGCTTCATTTACAAACCTTGCTCAGTCATGGCTGGTTTGAAGGAGTTAGTTTCTGGAGAAATGATATTTTGTCACATTCTAAGTACAAAACTGTTGTCAGACATTGTCTGATACTAACTAAAGCCCTTTTCAGTAATACTGCAAGTGAAAAGGGTCTTAGAATTGTTGTAGATCAAAAGCTGAATATGAAACAGCAACATGATGACTACAAAAAAGGCAAACACTGTTTTAGGATTCAATAACAGAAGTATAATCCCCAAATCCTGTGAGGTCCTAGCCCGCCTCTGTTCACCACTGGTTAGGCGTAATCCAGAGTACCGTGTCCAGTTATGGATGCCACACTTTAAGAAGGATGCCAACAAACTGGAGCAAATTCAGAGGAGGGCAGCAAGGATGATCAGGGCATTGGAAACCAAGCCCTATGAGAGAAGGCTGAAATAATTGGGCATATTTAGCCTTGAGCAAAGAAGAGTGAGCAGAGATAGAATAGCATTTTTCAAAGACTTGAAAGGTAGTCAAACATAGGAAGCAGGCAGGATCTGTTCTTGATCAACCTAGAATTCAGGATACATAATAATGGGCTCAAGTTACAGGAAGCCAGATTTAGGCTGGATATCAAGAAAAGAGCAATACAGCAATGGAATCAATTACCCAAAGAAGTGGTGAACATTCCAACACTGGAGGCATTCAATGGAAAATTGGACAACCATCTGCTTTGATTTGGATTCCTGCACTAAGCAGGGGGTTGGACTTGATGGCCTTACATGCCCCTTCCAACTCATTTATTCTATTATTCTGTGATTGCTAGATGGCTCTTTTCTCACCTGCTGACCAATTAAAATCTCCTTTTAAGAAAATCGGAAGGAACATAATTATCTCCTAACGTGGTATGATTTCTATGGGAACTGTCATCTCCTTTGTTCTTTTTTCTTTTTGGTCTATGTTGGTCCCTTTGCTTGGAAAGGCCGGGACAGAACGGGGGACCTTCTGCCTGTGAAGCAGATGCTCTGCCCCTGAGCTACTGTCCTTTTCTCAAGATTTCTTGATGCTTGCCAAGACCAAGATGATCAAGAGACGCCAAGAAGTCTATAGCGTCTAGAATTTGGAATTTGAAAGGGTCACCGTCAAAATGCAGGTGGTTGAATTTAATTGAATAAAACGGCAGAGATAAATGAAATTGAATTGATTTCAGTTTCATTAATCTAACCATCAATTTGGATTATAAAATAAATTGAAAAGTTTAATTTAATTCAAGAGAGGTTAGCTTAACTTGGTCAGGCTTTGCTAGTAAGAGACTAGATGCATAGAATAAGTATTTACTGGCAAGTTGTGTTTCAGTATCTGGCAAGATTCCCCCAAATATAAGCAAATGGTGCCTAAAATGTTTGGTATCTTTCCCCATCCCTTCTTTCCTTTGGGCTTCTCTCCATTCATTCCTCATAACTCCCTTGGTTGGATCACCCACTAAGAGTATCTATCACCAAACAAAACTCTCCAATAGAATTTAAATCTGATTCACGTTTTTTTCTGTCTCTTTGCCAGCAGCTACATAGCAGGGAAAATATGATTTGATCCTAAGTATCAAATCAGGATTTTGTTGGGTAAAATCACTGTAGCCGTCTAGACTTTTTTCTGTCTCTTTGCCAGCAGCTACATAGCAGGGAAAATATGATTTGATCCTAAGTATCAAATCAGGATTTTGTTGGGTGAAATCACTGTAGCCGTCTAGACGACAATTTACGGGAGTCCACAGGGCAGAGACAGAGAGCTCATTTTGCATGGAGCACCAACACCAGAAGTTATGGTGCTTAAAGGCTTCTGGGAGTTGCAGTCCAAAACTCCTGAGTAACCCAAGGTTAAGAACCAGTGGTCTAGACGACAATTTACAGGAGTCCACAGGGCAGAGACAGCGAGCTCATTTTGCATGGAGCACCAACACCAGAAGCTGCCTTATGGTGCTAACAAGGTGCTAACTGGCAATACCACTTTTCTCTCTCTTTTAAAAAAGTTATCCTTAGTATCCTAATGAAACTGTTCCAGCAATGAGTTGAAACGTTTTTTAAAGAAAGAAACTGTGTAGAGACCAGATACACCCGGCTGAGGGGAAGCAACACCCCCATAAGTGTCCCTTTGCATTTGATCAGGCAATCATACTGGTGGAAACCAAAAGTCAACTTTAGTCATTGAGCTGAGAAACGGTTTTCCTCACCCTTGCCCAAAGAGGTTGTACATGTCTCATATAAAATACCTCTTTTAGGGGCACAAATAGCCAATGGTCTTATGAGGGCCACTCACCTCCCATAATCTCCAGACATCATCAAATGATCGGAAGACTCTCTGAAAGAACAGGCAGAACCAGGGGAACAAAGCTTCCACCACTTGGCCTTTCCCTTCTGGGAAAATTAAAGATAACACAGGTCAGATTCTGTGAATCTTGAGAATCTCTTAACGCCAGGGAGGTGGAAAAATACATGATAAATTCCTCATCTTCATCAGTTTCAGCCACACCAAAACATACCTCAATGAGGAGTTTGGCAGCCCTGCAGGATCCCTCACCTTCTTGCCAAGAGTGAGATATAGAACTTGGTTAAGGTCCCTCTATGCACAGAAGGCCTGGCTGATGATCAAGAAAGGCACAAACAACCCATCCAAGGCTTAAAGCTGGCAAATGTCCATCAAAGAAAGCCACAGTCATCCCAATTTCTTGCTTGGTTCCGTGCTTTATTGGCTGAAATCCTGTTGCACAATTTTACCTCTCCTAAGGCTAAGGATGTAATCAGTCATTACGGGTTTTCGTGAATGGAAAATTCCTGATGGTTCTGAGGCTCCCTTGTGATCTGTATCACAACAGGACCTCATCCTTTGGGTACAAAAATAGTCATCTAAAATGTGAAGCAACCATTTGAGTGGGCGGGAGAATTTCGGTTACTCTTTGCAGACAAAGAGAAGAACCATATGTTTCATCCTCCTTGTCTGTGAGGACCAGATGAGCAAAATCTACATCCCCACCAAAACAGAGGGAGAATAATTGACTTCTCTAAATGCACCCTTGCGCTTTCTACACAAAAAGAGAGCCAGAGTTGTCTAATAGCTGGGGTGTCAGGCGAAGACTTAGGAGATCTAGATCCATGGAGTGAACTAGGGTCATTCGCTTTCTCCCTCAGCCTGATTTACCTCACAGAAACATTGTAAGGATCAAGCAGGCAGCAGAGAGCCACGCAGGCCACATGGAAGCTCATTGGCAGGAAGATGGAATAGAGATGCAATAAATACAGGTACAGTGGTGCCTCGTTTAATGGGCACCCCGTTTAATAACAAAATCGCATACTGATGAACTTTTTGCAATCACTTTTGCGATCGCATTGCGATGTTTTAAATGGGGAAAAATCGCTTTGCGATGATCGGTACCCTGTTTCGCTTACTGATTATCACAAAGCGATGATTTTCTAACAGCTGATTGGCGGTTCCAAAATGGCCACCGGGTAAAAAAAATGGCCGCCCGCTGTGTTTAGGGATGGATTCCTCGCTTACCGGGCAGGGAAAATGGCGGCCGTATGGAGAATTATCGCTTAAAGGTGAGTTTTAAGCCAATAGGAACGCATTGAAGGGGTTTCAATGCATTCCTATAGGCTTTTTAAAATCACATAGCGACGAAATCGCTTTGCAGCGATTTTGGCTGCACCAATTAACGTCGCTATGCGAGGCATCACTGTATATAGATATTATTTCAATGTGAACTTTCAAACTTAAAGACTTTGATAAGATTCATGTGAAAATGGGATGGAACGGACCTTGGGAGACCTTGATCTCTCTCTCCCTCCCCCAATTCTAGTTCAGCAGTCCAACTATTGTACCACACTGCCTCTCTTGACATGGTTTTCTGCTTATTATCAACTCATCAACCAAGTTGATGATAAGCAGAAAGAGATGGTTCCATCCTTCCCATGAAAATCTGGACCTGCACAACTTCTGATCCACCCAGTGAGGGACACCCGTCCTCATCCATGTGTCATGGCCTCCCAATGGGCGTTCCTAAACCCCTCTGCTTTTGCCTTTTGAGGCAGGCCGCAGAACAGGGCGGGACAGCATCCGTACACGCCTGGCCCAATGGTGGAGCTCACCGAGGTGCCTTGCAAAAACCGGATCCATAAACGCAATGAACGCTCTGAGCATAATCAGGTTCTTCTCCACCCCGATGTTCATAATGCAGCTGTTCTCCTGGAAGAGGGGAATGTTCAGGCATGTGAAACACAGTTGGAAAAAAAAATCAAAGAGGCCAGATGGCTCAGCCTGGCTGTGTCAGCCTCTTCTTGCCCAGATAGAAACAACCTTCCCCGAGATGTCCACGGCATCGGCAAAGCAAAAATATATACATTTGTTCCATGGTCTGATTTTTCTTCTTCCCGGCCCAAAATTCTCTCTCAGGGAGAGCTGGCAAAATACAGATGTGTGGCCTTCTCTTCCTCAATGCAGAAGGCAAACCCAAACTCTAGCAGAACATTCCTGGGCCGTCTGGATCCAAAACACGGCGCACAGGATTGCCTTGGAGCGGCTGTGTTTTTTGTTTTGTTTCTAACCAACATGCTCCGAGAGAGAAAAGGAATCATGAGATCATCTCATCTTGGGCAACTTTATGCCTTTGAAATACTTTTGTCCCAACTTTGCAGCCCCACAGAACTGGCCGAAGATCATAACAGAGATAGGGAAGAGGGAAAATATGACTTCTATGCTGCCAACTAACAGGAGCTTAGAAAAGGTACGTACCCTTTTTGTTCTACTATTTCTGGAGCCCCCTGGTCAGTAGGGGAGCAGCCTCAAAGCCAGGTGTACAGAGGCACCAAGAAAACAAGCTGAGCTTGGAAACTATAGTTTTTGGGACTACAACCCCCAGAATCCTCAACCAGCTGGCTTGGAATGCTGGGAACTATAGTTTAAAAGATATAACTTCCCAGGGTCTGAACCCACTCACTCCTTTTTCGGGAGCTCCGTGTCCTTACTGCTGGCAGATTTCCAGAGCTCAGAAATGTTGCTTTTTGGGAACTACAGCTTCCAGCATCCCCAGCCAGCTGGTTCAATATTCTGGGCATTGTCATCCACAAGAATAATGTTTCCAAGCTTTGCCTGTTGCTTGGATGCTTTTGAAGAGTTGGCTTTAAATCTGTCAGACCTTTGCAACATCTACTGGCCATGTTGATGGGGGAATTCTGGAAGCTGCCAGTACTAGATGTAATTCCTCGGAGATCTGAAAGAGGGTTCTCCTATGCTCCACAAGTTCCAGTTTGAGGAGATTTTTAAGGATTTGCTCTCGGACCGTGACTGAACCCCTTCCCGACTCTGCTGAAGAACAGCAATGCCATATGGGAACGATTCAGGAAGGGTTACAAAGGGGAGCCAAGAGGGGAAGGGACTGCCCCAAATGACTTCTGCTCCATGGCACTGAAGGAAGTATCTGGAGACCCTTAGACCCTGATGGGAGACACCACCTAATACAACCAACCCCCATTAAAACATAAGAATGTTGAGTTCACTGAGGCCTATTTAATCCAACGTTCTGCTCCCGCAGTGGCCAAGCAGAGGTCCATGGAAAGCCCCCAGGAAGGACCTGGAAGCAAGAGTTGTCAGGCCTACCCTCCCAAGATTGTTTGTTCTGGTTGTGATGTTGTTCAGGTGTGGGAAACTGGTGATCCTTCTGCTATAAACTGAAACCAGAATGACCCCCCACCAAGAGGGATTGTGGGCAATGAGAACTACACACTGATGACATCTAGAGGGCCATACGCCAACCATCTCTGAAATAGTTGGGAAAAGGGGAAAGGTTTTGTCTGTGGAACCCCCTGCCCCATAGAGATTCATTTGGCCACACCACCAAAACTCCTTTGGTCTCCTGTAAAAACCTTATTTGTTAAGACGACTATGGGGCTGGCCTTCTGTTTGGTCAGTCTCCTTCTCTGTTTCAATTGTCCCACAGAGGCCGAGTTTTGTTTGTTTGTTTTTAAAATGGAACTATTTTGGTTTCAGGTTTGTGAGTTTCAGAGACCGCCTGCTCTAGGCCCTCCTTTGTTTGGGCAAAAACTATGGGGTCAGTGTCAGATACATCTTAGGTGGATCTTACAGTTTTTTGGAGAAAGAACTGGAAAAGCCAGTAAATCTCATGTTCTTTTTCAGCAAGCAGCCGGAACAGCAGAAGCATCTCATGGAAGCCTTGTTGGTATTCTGAGGGGAAAAGAAGGCGGGAAAGGGAGAGAAGAATTTATTGTCCAATAAGCATTTATCACAATGTTCTTTTCTCCACCGGGCGACATCTCTGTTTGCAGAGCGAGGTACTCTCTGTCCAATTATTTGTTTGATGTTCTTATCCCAAACTGCATCAGTCAGAAGAGATACATGCTGTGTTCTTATCCCAAACTGCATCAGTCAGAAAAGATACTGTACATGCTTCCACTGGGAGAGGAATGTCGTGAGGTACCTTGCTCCATCTAGTTCAGTATTACCTACATGAGGATGGGAAACCATCTCTAGAGGATTAAAAAACAAACTACATTGTTCCCATTGTTCCTCACAGCTGTAGACTGGGGAGGATGCAAGGTGGACTCCAGCAACATCTTGTTTTTTTTTAAAATAATTTTTATTTTTTAACATAAGGGGTGACAAAAAGGAAAAGGAGACTTAGGAATTTATGGGGAAGAGGAGAGACTATAACATGCTAACAACCATTCTAAACTTAATGCCATATCATAGTTTTAAATTGTTCTGTTTTCTCTTTCCTGCCTTTTAGATTAAGCTCTCATTTCAGTATATGCTATTTACATGTTGCCTGTTAATTTGGTCCATTTGTTGAATAGGTCCCATCTTTCTGTTGCCTTTTGTAGGGGATAATCCTTCATGACTTCTGATAAAATGTCCATTTCTGCTATTTCCCGTATTTTTTCAATAAGATTTTCTAGTTTCGGTATCGTCGGACTTTTCCAATTTTTTGCATATAAAATTCTAGCTGCCGTAACAATATACATGACTATATGTTGCTTTGACTTATCTATGTTATCATGTATTATACTCAATAAAAACAATTCTGGAGTTAATAGCACATTACAGAGCATTATTTGTTGTAACATAGTATGTACTCTTTTCCAGTATTTTTTCGCTAATCCACATGACCACCACATATGATAATAACTTCCCACTTGTGTTTCACATTTCCAACACTTATTTGATACATCTGTATACATCTTTGACAGTTTTTCTGGGGTCATGTGCCACCTATAAAACATTTTATATATGTTCTCTTTAGGGTTAACCGATTTTGTAAATTTTATGTTACTTTGCCATATTTTCAGCCATTGATCAATATCAATATTGTGCCATATGTTTTGTGCCCACTTTATCATACATTCCTTAACCATTTCATCCTGCATTTTAAATTCCAACATATAGTTATACATTTTCCTAACAATTTGTTCTTTGGAACCCAACAGCAGCTTATCAAAAGTGGTTTGCTCTGAATAGAAACCCTCTGTTTTGTCTTTTGCGTATCTAGATTCTAACTGTGCTCTAGGCCACCGACTCCAGCAACATCTTGAGGGCCTACAGCATCTTGAGTCCTCCCTTTAGTCCAAAAATGATGGGTAGCCACTCTTCAAACAGGTATGTTTTTCTAGGTCTTCCTGGGAATGAGTGGAATCGCATCCAAATTGCTCTGCATGCCAAGAGCAAAAATCTACAGGTTGTCGGTTCGAATACTGTGGAAGGTGCCTCATGACAAGTCAAAAGATTCATCCATCTATCTAGGCTCCACCACAGATGGGGTCATTTTGGCTTTTTATATGTTTTGGATTATATCTGGAAGTGACAGCGAATGTCGGGTAGTGGATAAAGTGTTAGACTGGGACTCAAGAGACCTGGGTTCAAATCTCTGGTGGGTCATGGAACCTCAGTGGGGAATGGCACTCCTTGAACATCTCACACACCTAGAAACGCCTGTTAGGGCCACTGCAAGTCAGATGTCACTTGATGGCATGCGACAACAGCTACATGTCTGGAGTGGCTCTAAGTTCCTCATTCTTGGTCAAGGAAAACTGGTGACAGTTGTCCTGAGTGTCAGATGGGAGAAGTATAGAGACTCATAGATGAGAATACCTTCAAGTTCCCCAGATCGTCCATGCTTTTGTCCTTGACTGGCACTTACAGTCTCAATAATTCACTCAGAGAGATTTGTATGAGAAAGGATTTTAAAACATTCTTTACTTACAGTGGCTTAGAATTGCAGGCTTGTGTATACTGTTGGCTTTGCTGCACACATACTTAGCAACTGACTGAACAGATAAACAGCAAACAACTGCCTCCAACATATGGAAAAGAGGGAAAGAGACACGGGGGCGGGTGAGAGAGAAAGCTCTCTTTGAAATCAGACTGGAAGGCATGATTGGTTAGTGCTGGACAGACAGACATTCACTCTAGCTTCGAGTGGTGGTGAATTCAGTGGGAGGGCACATACAACCCTTATTTAATGAGGACTTAATTGTTCACAGCAGGTTAGCCCTAAAAAGTCTCTTATCTCCACACCGAAGTAGGAAGGAAATCCAGTGGCTTTTCTAAAACATAACAGCCACAAATTAGGATAAGAGCAGAAGTACTGAGATGCGGTGGTTTAGGAATGGCAGTTCCATAAGAACAGAATGGATCAAAAGAAGGCCTATCCGGAACACAGGATGGAACGCTGAGATAGTCTAGCTGTCCCCTTTCTTGGCGGTTTGGTTTCTGGCTGAGTGGCTTACCTGCTTCCACATTGCACACATAGATCAGCAGAAGGATCTTCTCCAGCTGGCTCTTGTCCACCAAGGGGTTGCCCTGGGCATCTTTGAGGTACAGCCTCTGAACATCCGACTCTGGGGGAAAAGAAGGGGGTCACATGGAAATCAAAGCGGACGATAAAGGCAGATGTAGTAGTAATTCCTTGGGGAATGCCACTTGGCCCAAGCAGGGACCTCGGCCAGTGGCCATCGTTGATGATGCAGTAGACTGCATTCACATTCGGACTGCAGTCTTCGGGATGCGTTGAAAGTAGAGATAGGCAGGAGACGAACCACGATACCAAAAAAAGCTGGTTTGGAGTTCGTTTCAGGGCCCAGTTCAGGGATCACGTTTTGCCAAACCAAAACAAAATGCCAGACTTTTTAACCCATTGGCAACTGGATTGCCCTTGTCTCTTCCCAGCCCCCCCCCACCATTATTTTGGCCGACTGGATGTTGCTGCTGCCGCTGCCTACCTTCATCCCCATCCTCAGAGGCAACAGCCTGGCTCCTGGTAGGGAAGCCGAGCCTACTGCCTCTGCGCATGTGCCTGACGCTCAGGGGATAGGCAGGCGCATGATCAGGATGGCAGCAGTGGTGTGGTGGCAGCAGCAGCAGCAGGACCCGGTAGGGAGGTGGCAGGGGCCGTGGGAAGGAGGTGGGGAAGTGGCAGAGAAGGAGGCGGTGGCAGGAACAGGTAAGGTCCCCCCCCCCGCATGGATGGGAAAAACAAACAGCATTTTCCCAGGGGTTTGTGGGGGTTTGTGGCTGGTGGTTAGCCACAAATCATGAGCCATTACAAACCACTGGTTTTGTAGTTCATGCCCATCTCTAATTGAAAGCAAGACTGGGATGTCCCTGTGCATCTTTACATAGTGAGCTGCACTCTCTGACACTCCTTGCTAAATAAAACTGGCCCCAGTCTTGAAGACGCCACACATGAAAATGCCACGAATACGGGCCAATTTTCTCAGAATCATAAAAAGGTGCCTCAGCGCAGTCAAGTCATGCTTCGGTAGAAGCTGGCAAGCACCGTGATTTTCCCCTGTGCTTTTAAACAAAAGCAAAACCCCAGCAATTTCTTTATTCATGACATCGCTTATTTTAGAAAGGGTTAATAATAAAATTTCTATTTTGCCTTGTATTTTGTGCAAACT